CACACAGTAACCTGGCACTTATAGTTGCTTTTCTTTGTTTCTCCTCCTTGGATATTGTAGATTCACTTTCACCAGCTAAATCAGCGGACAGTCATTTACAATTGATAGTACAACTTTACCAAGTCCCACCTGCTATTTGGGTGCTGTTGGGATGGGCAGACCAGACTTCAAACACTTTCCTCTGTTCAACAGACAAGGCACAGTGTCCTCCCAAGAGCAATGTGCAAGGAGAAATAACAATTCCTCGTCAGAAACCTGCCCTTCTAAACCAGTCCATAACACCATTAAAAGACTCATTTATACTCTGCAAGCAGAAGTGACAGAGTAAAGTCTAAAAAAAAGTGACAATTTGAAGCAGTCTCATAGCATCATGGCTAGTATCAGTGTCAGCTTCAGGCATAAAGAAATTGAAATTGCTCTCTTAATGATGTGAGCTCCTTTTGCTCTTAAAAGCTTACTGAGGCCTTCATGCTTATAGCTTCAGTTAGCTGGTGGTGGCAAAAGCTGCTGACTACAGTGGCTACTGACTGCAACTAAGAAGAGAAAAACCGTTTTCATACAGAGGTGTATTAAAGTGAAACGAAAACTGAGGTATGTTTTGACTTATTTTCGTAACATCTGATGTGTAATTACTAACTGTAAGCTAGCAGCTACACAAACTTCAGTTGATAATCCGGTTTCTTCCATAGTAAATCTTTTGCAAGTGGACTTACAGAGAACACAGATTATAAATAATTCATGATAAAAATACATTTCTAATTATATACATATGTGCACACATACACTTGAAAATTAGAATATTTAACATGACTTTATACATATGCAATCGTTTAATTTTATTTTCAACAGTATTCTATCACTTATTTATATTTTGACACTCATAGGGAAATACCACTATTTTGCCTTTGCAACATTTTGTTTTTCTTTCTGCTGCTTGGCTTTAGGGATGAGAGAATATAGATTAGTTTTTAAACGACTGTCATTTTTCAGATGGCATAGTGGCATACCACAGATCTGAATTTCGAGAGCCAGCATAGTGTTGAGTGAGCCATATTTGTTAGCTATTAATAGTGGGGCTATTACAGGAGTCAGAAGCTGCACAATAAAACCTTGAGAATTGCTTTCATGTTGGGTCTCTAGACTAAAACCCTGACTGCAATATCAGCAAATTCTTTCTGTGTTAGTGGAAATTAGCTTCATAACATTTTCCCTGTCTCCTTTGGACGCTCTTCCTGAATTTGAAGTTGTTCTTCTAACTCACACTTCTATCTATGTTTGGTTTATGTTTGCTTCTTTCTTTCTGATGCTGAGATTCCATCTTTCCCTGCTGATCATCAGGCTTTTTTTCTTTTCCCTAGTACTGATTTAGACTAACAGAAAATGCTCATCCAAGAGGGCCAAAACGTAGCTAGACTGGTATAAATAAATAGGTGGACTTTATTTTCCAGCTGTCTCGTTGTCCACAGAGTGATAATACTGTTCTCTACAACTTTAAAGAAAATGAGGCAAAATAAAAATAGAAGAAAGATACACTAGAAACTCCAAGAAAATTAGAATGTGACAAGTTGCATCTTTACATTAAAAAGAATTAACTTCCAGCCACTGAGGTACAGTGTGATACCTATTTATCAAGTTAAATTGTTTTCATATTGTAAAACACAGTTAATTACAGAGGCCATTTACATATGGATGGTACTTATTTAAGCACTATTTTTAACACTGTATGCATAAATAAGATTTAATTTCAATTTTGTTGGTTTTTTGGTTGTTTTGTTGTTTTTTTTTTTACTCCATGCTTTCAGAAAATAGGCAAATATAATGATGGAAACAATCTTCTGGATGATCCAAATGCAGTCCTTTACCTACTCATGGAACTATGCCTATGACTTTTTCCATGAACTTAACAATTCTCATCATTAAATAGCTTGAGCTGTTATTTATTTGGTCCCTACCACTTGTATTAAAAAACAACTCTAGAACCTTACTACTTTTATGGTCAGAAATCTTCTGGATTCCAGACTGAATTTATTCATGGCCAAATTACATCCATTTGTTCTTGTGCCAACATTGTCTGCTAGAATAAATAGTTCTTTTTCCTTGCCTACTGTTTACCACTCTATTGTGTTTTTAGAGAATAATTATTTCCTGTATCAGCTTTTGTTTCTACTAGACTAAACAAGGAAAAACTTTTCAGCCTGGATCTTAAAATGACTCCCCTTTGGTAATCTCTACAGCTCTTCAACTATTTCACCTTTCACAAATGTGATGAAAACAATCTGTATGAGATCCCTCAGGTGCTTTAAATAATGGCAGAGATTTTTTTCCTTTTCTCTGCTAAGAAACTGTTTAATTGGTTCATACTTAGGTGGCATTTGCTTTTTCATGGTTCTATCCCACTAGTAACTAATAGCCCTGCAGTCTGTTAATATGCATGCCTAGATCTATCTCCTGTGTTATTTACAACTGATATTCTCCTTTACAGCAGATTTTTTAATTAATCCTTGAGTGCATGTCTCCACTGCCAACATTATGCACTTGAAAGTGATTTTAGGGGTGAGTATTTTTAATGTGCCTTTTCCAAGGCTGACGGATAAATTGATGCCAAAGATAACAGAAAAATAGAAAGGAATAATGTAGGAAGACCAAAGGGAGGTGCTCAGCACCCTGACAGCACCAGGCATGATGTATTAAGGAGAAGTTTTCACAAGTGCTTCAGTGTATTATGATAGAACATAAAGGTTTGAGTGTGGTACATTGCACACAATACTTTAGGAAATTCTTTTTTGGCCTGGTATACTTACAGCTGCTTAAATATTCCATTTCAAAACAATTACGATTATTACATCAATACTTTTAGAGCGGTTCACAGTAAAAAAAAAGCTTTGCTACTGCCTGGTTGTAAAGGTTCCATTTAAGGGCCATACATTTTGGAGTGAAGACTATATAACTCTTACATTTTAAAAGACAACATTTTCATAGGCATGCTGATGATTTTGGACTGCAAGGTCAACTAGCTAGGAATTTGGAAACTTTGAATCCTTGGAAAAACAATTGAAATTTCCTCATTTTGATGTAGAATATGCAATTTATAAAATACCTTCAGCTGTACAAGTATAGATAGCAGAAGACTAGTGAATTTCCACACTGGGTATCTTTGCTCTTTAGTAGAAAGATGAACTAGATTTTTGAAGGATTTTTTTTAGAGGGAGAAAAATTATTTAAAAATCATGTGATAGTTTTTTTTGGTTTTTTGTGTTTTGGTTTTTTTTTTAAATTTTGCATAAGAGTGCTGGAATGAGAAAATTTATTCATAAGAGTTATCTGCAAGGGCACGGAGCTGTAGAGAACTCTTGAAAAACTTTTTTTTTTTGTCAGTTTTAAATTTGATGGGAATCTGCTTATTGGGAAGGGAATCTGCATCTGCTCAGGATTATTTTATTAAGTTATTAAAAGGTAGTTTTACTTAATGTGCCCTCCTTGACTACTGCTGCATAACACCTTCTTTGATGTTGAAATCGTAAAGTGAGCATATTAGTTTTTTGGTGCAGTAATGTTTAATATGTTGTATGTTGTTTGGGACATCCCTGCGGTGCTGATAGCTGTGCATGAATGACTGGTATACTAAGCTGGGGAGCTTTGAACGCCTTTCAGTGGTCACATAATGACTTTCACCAAGGGAGGAAGAAGTCTTGCTATATTTTTGGTTTGTTAACCCGGGTTTGGAAGGTGTTGGTTTCATAAATTACAACGTTTGTCAGTAATTTTGTTGATGACGTACGTCAAGCTGTGTGGTGCAGTCAGCATGCTGCAGGGAAGGGATGCCATGCAGAGGGACCTTGACAGGCCTGGAAAACAGAAGGCTTTGGGATGAACTAACTACAGCCTTCCAGTACCTGACGGGAACCTACAAGAAAGATGGGAGACAGACTATTTATAAGTGCAGGTAGTGAAAGGACAAGGGGGAATTACTTTAAACTGAAAGAAAGTAGGCTTAGATTAGGTATTAGGAAGAAATTCTTTCCTGTGAGGGTAACAAGGCACTGGAACAGGTTGCCCAGAGAAGCTGTGGATGCCCCATCCCTGTAAGCATTCAAGGCAAGGTTGAATGAGTCTTTGAGCAATTTGATCTACTGAAAGGTGTCTCTGCCCATGGCAGGGGGGTTGAACAAGACGATCTTCAAGGTTCCTTCCAAACCAAACCATTGTATGATTCTGTGATGTGATTAAGTAAATCTATCATAGGAAAATAGTGGCTTCAAAAAGTAAATTAACTGATATGTCTGTCAGAAGAGTTTATTTTTCTTTCCTCACAACTCACTATGTTTTCAGAAATATTTGAGACGTGTCCAGACATCAGAAACTTGCAGGCATTCGCTGCAGCAGGCTGCAACCAAAGGATCATTCTGACTTGACAAAATAAGTTTTAAAGCAGTTCTTTTCCTTAATATGCCTCTTTCTGTTTTACTAGTTGTAGTTAGTATTTGTCAAACTAGGACGAAGGTTTGTCATTAGTTTTTTTTCTTTGGACAGTGATACGCTTACTGTGTTGATAAGGGAAAGGGATTTGAAAAGTGCCTGACAAAGAGAAACGTCACAGCAAGTAAAACATGTAATATATGGTAATATTATCCTACTGGTTTTAATCTGATAAAGGTGTTAGGCTAATTAAGAAAGAATTAAACTACACATGACAGATACTGGTCACATTGCTTGATGTACTGCTGGAGGATACACAGAACCATAGAGGTGATGAAAGCATTGCAAGAACATACACAGAAGAGAAATAAAATACAATTGCTGCATGCAAGTATAGTGGGTTTTGCAAGTAAACATGGTATACTTGTTTGACAGGATGTTTTTTGACAAGTATAATTTTCTCAATACAGATTCTATATAGAAAAATATTTGTTAAGAGACTCAAAATAGCTTGGGTTTTGGAGAGATAGTGAAAAGCAAGGAATAACCCTTCAGAGGTTACTTACTGGGAAACGTTTGTATTATTCTCTTAATATTAAATAATAGTTTTTCCTCTTCTGCAGTACCTTCAGGTGCCATTTAAAATTAAAATCAATTATATTTCTCCAAGCTCGGAAAATTTATGTTTCTCTGAGAAGCTGACCTCATCAACAAGTTCATACAAAACACTGTTTGGCACATATATGGAGAAGCACCCAGAAAATGTTATCTATGTAAAATGGAGGGGGTTTTCCTCAGTTATTTTCTCTCTTTTTCCTGTATTGGCTTTGTTTCCATTAGATTTCTTGGACCTCTGATTCAGAGCAAAATAGGTCTGCTGTTTCCTGAAAGAAGATTTATTAGTGTGGAGACGGTACGGTAAGATCAGTGAGATAATCTGTTTTAAGAGAAGAGGGTTAAGGGGGATATACAACAGAAGGATATGATAATTTTCAACTTCACATTCTAAGGAGCGCCACACTGATTCCAGACCAAAAGTGGAAAAAGACCCACTCTGGGAATGAGGGGCTGTGCATCACCACGGATGCTGCTGTGCCATACCGGCTAATGCAGGCACGTGGAAGTTGTTGGGACAGACAGACCCTTGTGCCTTGCTCCTGCACTGACTTCTGCTTCCCCTTCAGTCTGCGATGGGAGTGGTTTAAAATCATACAGAGTACAATATAAGACTTTTGGCAACTTGTTCCTTCTTCAAACCAGTTTAATATTAGAGCAATACAGAGCAACTCTACAGCTGGGGAGGATTTTTCCATCTTTCACGTAACTCCTTAAAATCAGGTGTTTCAGGGCATGTCTTATGTAGCTTACTAGAGTGTTGTATGCAATTAGTTGTTGTGGTTTAGGAGAAGGCAGTATGTGTGTTGTACACAACACTTGTAAGTGACTATTGAAGTGATACTGCGAGTCATAAATTTGCTCTCAATTTCATTACCCACACATTTCCCACTCCTTCACACACAGAACTATAATAAGCAGGGCTGGTATAGGAGGCTCTTTGGGATTTTAGCAGAGCAAGTAGTCCCCAGTGGAGCTGGGAAGTGAAAGGAAACTGTTCCAGCTGGGAGCCAAATAGCAGTAATGCAGGACCTGTGGGGAGATGCTGCAGCTCGTGAAGGTTTATAATACCATAGGTTACTGTGATTATTAAAGAAACAGGAAACAAATAATAGATTCCCCCCTTACAAGCACTTTGTATACAAGACGTGCAAAATGGTGGAGTTGAAAGGGAGATAAGGCTGTTCTCGACCTGCACTCTCAAGCTGGATGTGGGTTACTCCCTTTCAGGTGTGTGGTCTAAGCTTCAGGTGATGGGAGTGGTTCCATGTTTTTTGAAGTTTTATTTTTTCTTCTTTTTTTTTTCATCTTCCTCCTGGCATATCTCTCTGCTTTCCCATGAGTGGTGTCACTAGCAAGAAAATAACCAGATGTCTCAGCAGGGCTGTTTCCATTTTGCTACCACAGTATATACTTACCCTCGGTCACCATGCTTGCTTTCTGCGTGTTTTCCTTTCTGTCTGAGCCTCAGCTGAATAGTCTGTTCATTTTAAAAACACCATCAAAAACGAGAGAGAAGAAAAAACTTACCCTTACAAATCCCTTGCAAGTTCACCTCCAAATTTGAAGCTCCTCTTTCTTTTTTTCCAGTTCTCTGACTTTATTTTAAACTTTGTTGAGCCTTTGCAGGCTTTGTGTCACTTGCAGAGTCCTGGAATGTGGATTACTATAAATTAAGAATAGACTCTTATAGGCTTTGAGAGCAACTATCCAGGTTGAAAGTCCTTTTAACAAACTTATTTAGTTTAACGATAAAAAAAAAAAAAAAAAATCTTTCAAACCACTCTGCCTGTGATAGCAACACAAAAAACCCCCAGGTATCCTGACAAAATGAAAGTAGCAAATCCACTTAGTACTGAAAAGCATAAAATGTTTAACAAAAATGGTATTTTTAAAGTAATATGTATGAGTGCTATACACATGAATATTGAATATATATTCCCTTAAAATAATCTAGTAAGGGAATAAAATATCCATTTGCATTTTTCTTTTGCACATAGGTTTATTAAGATAATATATGTATCTTTTTATGTGCTGAGCCATTGCTTTGTCTCTGTCTCAGCCTGTCCGAGGTGTATGAATATTGACTGATGTACAAGCCACGGTGTATTATTGCTTACTTGAAGCATGACCTTGTTTTTTCTCTTAATTATATTTTTCCTTTGTAGGAAAGCAAGTTTACTCATTCTGAATCGTGCCAAACCGCATAATTTGGAAAGGAATATTGTGGCTCTACTTGGAAAGTACTAATTGGGCTCCAGCCATCACTGGGAAAGCTGTATAGTCTTTTATTATTTTAACTGGCCAAATGCCCTTTGTTACCACATTAACAGTCTCCCTATGGTGCCTGTAACTTTGATATTATTTTCACTTTCATGCTAAATTTGACCAGATGAAAGACACAAACCCTCCAATTTTGAAAGAAAAAAAAATAACGTGTTTTGTTAATCCTGTATTTCAGAGGGAAAGTCTGTGAAAATGATAACCTTTGTCCGCTGGCCAAAGTTTTTGTTCAGGAAACCCATCCTGCCAGCTGTTCCCATTGGCAAGGGGAAAGATAATATTTTGGTATCTTTAATTTCTCTATTTTAGAGCGCAAGTTCTGCTTGGGCCATTGTTTAAATCACGCACGTTAACATCGGTCTGGCAAACAATAATGCACTTTATAAAAAGACCTCAGTTTGAGCGCTATCACTGCAATGTTGCAATAAAGCTGGTCTAGACTATTACATACAGCTGAGGTCACTTACTGCCTGTGGACTATTGCAGGTGCTCTGGACTGTGCTGCTGAAGAAGTGCTTTCAAAGTCCTAAAGAAGACGCTGAAGCAGATATATGGGTGCATTTTAAGGCGATGTCACCAGGAGCTAAAGATGCATAATACCTCAAAAAACTGGGCTCTCACGCACGTGCCTTCGGTCCTCATCTCACAAGGCAGACTCGACAAGGATCAGCTTGGTAACTTGGGTCCAGCCCCTAGCAAATGAGGAGAGACAGCCAGACAGGAATGCTGGCATTTCCAAGAGACAAAACGTGGTCACCTAAAGCATTGCTAGGTTTAGACAGATACACTTCCTGCCCTGAGGATACCTGAATGAGCTCATGCACAGGGAGTGTTCTCTCTCCAGATTCATCTTTGATTGCAGGTCTTCCTTTCTGCTGAAGCAGAAAGGGTGTTCTCATCATGTTTAAGAAGATCTTTCTTAGTTTACAGGTAACCTGAAGCCTGAGTGGTTGCAGGCATATTGGATCTCACACCTTGGCAGAGGATTATTTCTGCTTAGGTTCTGAGACAGCTCAGCTCTAAAGACGTACGAGGGGGGGGGAAAGAATCCTGATCCTGCAACAATTCATTTGGATCCCTTGAAGGTTTCAAGGATTTCTTAAAGTCCTCAATGAGCATGACAAGCAAATTGATTGGGATAAAACTAGGTCTGAAGTCTTTGCCTGTCTAGACATAAAGCCTCTTTCACTAAAATGGAGCATGAGGGAAGACAAGAGACTCTCTTAAAACAAGAATTTCATTCATTTGAGCATTACTGTAATTATACTACTGTCTTAAATGCTATGAGATTGATGGTGCTTGTGACCTTCCCAGAATGTTTCAGAAGGGGGACAGTACAATCTTGCACTGTCTGAAAAAGAACTGAGCCCTCCCATCTATGAAAGCTGTCTTAGGCAATTCAGTGAACACTGTGATGGCTCCTTTATAGCCTTCTGCTTGTATTTGAGAGTGTAGGGCGCATTCCAAGGAAAATAAGGATAGTTCCTCTGTCTTGCTTGCTTACTTATTGCTATTGTAACAGCTTGATGTAAAAGCTGATAACAAAATAGATGGTGCATTTTGTTAGAAAGGCCTAGCCCAACAACCACACTAACGATAATGTAATTACACCAGGGATGCAAGTTTTCATGTAAATACGTTTCCCCTGGCATCTGCAATATGTGAATTTAGAAAAAAAAAAAAAAAAAAAAGTACTTTTTCGAGTTTTAATTTCCTCCAGAAGCACATAATCATTCAGTGCCTTTTCCTCTCCTTCAGGTTAGCTCTCATCACCACAGATACAACTACAAGTACTTATCTGACGTTTTCTTGACTGCTGAACTGCCAGAGCCTTTCAGGGCACATTTCAGGTAAGGTAAATCCATCAGTCAAGTTCAAAAGCACTAGGGAAAAATGTTTTAAAGTGGCAAATATACTTTGGTACCACTCTCACACATTACTTCCCCAAATGTGGCTAGCATGCCTCATGCAACAGCCTGCCTGGTCCCCATATGCCTCTGTGTTATTATTAATGTGTACTGCAGTTTCACAAAGGTGTTCTGGATGGAACTTGTTCCAGAGAGCTTGATCAGAGGGAAACTGTAAACCTCAGCCTCTCTGGAAGACCAGAATTCCTATGCTCCTGTTCCAAAACACTGCAGAGGCTGGCCCAGCACTCCATGGAACATCATCCTGTGCAGCACCAACAGGGCAGCTACCGGGGCATCACCAGGCCATGTGCCAGGCTCTGCCTTGCAGGTTAAGTTACTGACACTTGCCAGCTGCTCTTTGTGAGGGAGAACTTAAACACTTTCCTTTTACCTTAGAAAAGTTTTGTAAATCATGCAATTATACCAATAAATAAAGGTAGTGCATCGAGAGAAAAAGCACCATCTTCCATTTTTAAACTTCGTTCAGAACAACTTCAAAAACATAAAGTGTCACGTCATCTCGAAAGGAAAAATAATTGGGGAAAAAAACCCACCCACAGCCTTAGTATTTGAAGTAGGCCATGAAAGCCATCTGACCTGTCATTTGAGTCCTTCAGCATCAAAGAGCTGCGTTAACAATAACTGTAATGAAATTAGACTTATTATGCATGCATGAGCAATAAAAAAAAAAAAACAAACAAGAAATCTACTATGGTAGTAATCAAGGTTAAGAAAAAGAAAGCCTCCCTTTCCTGCAGCCCTTTATTCAAAGGGGGTTTCGTAGGATCTACACAACACAGCAATGGAGTGAGGCCGTGAAGCTGTTGGACCTGCAGCTTTTGTTTTCATGGATAGTTTTCAGTACAAGAATCAGTCCCCTCTGTCTTGGGGCTGAAGAAACCCATAGCCTCTCAGAATCTGAGGTGGGAAAGGAGGAGTTTCTTCTGGTACCAGCACCTGTGAATGAGCATTGTAAAGCCTGGCTGTCAACCTCCTCTTTAGGGAAATGTTGGTAGATTTATCCACAGTTAAACCCAAATGTTTTTGAAAGCGATGGTCTTCATAAAATTATCTCAGCCATCAGCAAAGACAGGATTGAGCTGTTGTCCAGTGAGTTTCCATTTCACTTACCTGCAGAGGTTCTTCCACCTGACAAACTGCTCCAGAGACAGGATGCTCTCATGAGATCCAACATTTGCTTCAGTGTACCCAGACCTCAGGCCCATGACAATTTTGCAGTCCCCCTAAGAAATTAATCTTTAAATTGTCATTCTCAGTTTATCCTAGAATTTGCAACTTCTGTATGAATTTCTTGGCCATATTCAGTAATCTTGTTAATCTCAACTCCTCTATTTCTGTCTCTTATAACTTCTGCTAGCAAAAATTCTCACAGTGCTTTTTTTCCAACAAGGACAGAAACCTTCTGTTCCCTTTTTCCCATGCACTGAAGAAAATATCCCTGACTGTACATGCTTCTTCTACATTTCTTCACAGTGAAATCCCTGAGACTTAAATAACTCACTTCCAGTTGTTCACCTAAGCTTTTTTTCACTATAATTTCTAGGAGGGGCATCAAAGAATTTAAACTTCATAAGAAATGCTTGGCTTTGAAATAAAATTCCTTTTTTTTTTTTCATTTCCAGTGACTGAAGCAGAATTGTATTCATTTAGCAGACATCATAACTTGAAGTTAAACTGGTAATTTTTTTCAGGAGAGACATCCAGAGAGAATTTTCCTGTTGTAATACAGTTCACTAATGAACCGTAGTTAACATATTAGTTGCTTTCAGTGTGACCTTGAGAAAAATACAAAAGGTAATTCATGATTGTATGAAAGAGATACGTAAACATGCAAACGTTTTCTGTTGTTATAGGTTCTAAGGAATTAGTTCTGTAAGCAGTTATCTATAGTACATCTAAATTAAACAGCCCTGTTAGAAGGAAAACATTTTGTATTCATTTAGTCATTAAACTAGAATCAAGAACAGTTGCTAAAATAATGGATCCCTATTATTCGTTACTATTATGCTCGACTTTTAGGAATAGACACCTGTTAAGAATTGTACCAGAACTGTAGCTGCTAATGAATAATTAAATGCTAGGGAGCAGATGCAAAGGGCAAATAGAACAACAATACCTGATTTTTTTTTTTTTTCTGGGGACACTTGTGTGGCTTTTCTTCCTTCTCTTCTACTGAGTTTTGCTCTTGGATCTCTGCAGTATAAGGGACTGAACTAGGATTGGATTTGGAATTTTTCCCATCTAATGGAAAGATCTCTTTCTTAAACTGTGACAAAAAAATTCAGAAACTTGACAAATTTTATGAACTAAGAGTAATAATAATAATAATATGAAAATATCAATAGCAGTATTTTATCTAGGTGATTTTTAAAACATTTCAACTGTGGTTGTATCTTATAACTAAAAGCCATTTTACAGAAAGCCAAAGTCTTCAATTTGAAATGTTAAAATCCTGTTTCATAAAGCCTAATTTTTCAGGGCCTTGAAATCTGATTTGACCTATTTCTGACAGAGTTTTGGCTTAGACAACTAGCAGCATTTTTGTATGAAACTCATTTTGTCAGAAAGCTCTGAGCTAACTTTGCTGTCCATGATAGTCTGTACAAATATCACAGGAAACTTCTGGTATACACAATGGCTTAATCAGCTGGAACTGGAATAACATGCAGACACGTATCTAACTGATCCCCAGCTGACTAGGAAATCTGTGTCCCATATGCTGTTTAAAAAGGGAGGTCTTAAAATTTAATTAGGCAGGAGAAAGAAACCGAGCTTGTTTGGTTTGGGTTCTTTTAAATCATCACTCAGCTTTTTTTCTTTCACTTTGTACACCTATTTAAATCCCATATATTCACCCCATCCACAAATTGCTCCTGCTTACAAGGTTTATCATGAACTACTTAAATTCACTGACAATTTTGTTTTATTGGCAACCCAAGAATTGAGGTCACAGAGAACTCTCAACTTGAGAACCCAGGAGATGAGTAAATCCATTATGGACACACATGCTCTCTTGCATGGGAGATTCGCATGCAGTCTTTTATACCATAAATGAATATAAATATAATATGAATATAAATGAATACTCCACCAGATCAGTGTTTTTTCAGTCATATCTGTCTGCACAATGCTAGTTTGCTTTTTCTTCCCAGTGGTAGGGCACAGCTTTAGGTAGCAAATTGAAGCTCCCTGGCTCTTTAGAGGTAAATTTCTGCAGACCCCTTACAAAAAGCTCACAGAGCTCCAGGATCAGTGGTGAAAGCAACACCAGGATGAGTGCTACAAACTTGTTCCCACACAGAAATTCTTTACAGTGCACAGAGGCTGTGAAGTACCTCTACACTGCTTTCAAAAAAAAAAAAAAATCTGTTTCTAGTTCAACTATTTTCTGATTACAAACACAGACCTATGTTTCTGAGTGACTTGTCCAAGAGACAATGGGAAATCTATAGATTATTATTAGAAAGCCGATTGATTATCTGGTGCCATAGTCCTGTGTTTTCTGGTTCCAATTA